CCCGCCCCCCCCCCCCCCACCCCAAGGGGGAACGGCCGCGGCGGGGGGGGGCCGTAACGTACCCGCGAGCCGCCCCACGCGCAGAGCCGGGGGGAGGGGGGGGCGGGGAGGGGGCGGGTAATGGGAGGAGGGGGAGGAGCAACGGCTCCGCCCCGCGCGCGCGCGCACGCGCGCCTCCCCGCCCGCCACGACTTCAGATCCCGGCGAGCAACGGGCGGCGGTCACGTGGCGCTAACGGACAGCGCCCCGGCGCTGAGGGGAAGCGCCGCGACACGATACGATACGACGCGACGCGACACGACACGACACGACACGACACGACACGTAGATAGCGAGTGAGCGCGAGTTTCGGCGAGTTTCCCCTCTCCTGCCCGCGGAGCGTCCGGTAGCCGTGTCGGGACCCGGCCCGGCCGGTTGCGCAGGCAGGGGGGGAGCTGGTCTCGCCCGTTTGCGCTGGCGCTGATCGCTCTGTTCTCAGTCAGCTCTGGCGTCAGCTGGAACAGCTTCCAGTCAAATAGGAAAGGAACAAACAACAACCGTAACAAAAGCACTTGAGGATCAGTCGTAGTTTGGGAGGGTTTCTCGGTTTTGCATCATCCCTTACAACACCGGCTGACAAGCCGAGGTTGGCTGCCAGTGGTGGCCACCGGCCCACGGCAGGGTGAGTGGACGTGGGTGCCGTGGCCAGGCTTTAGGGGCCTTTAGAGCCTGCCCTTGCAGGCAGGCGCACAGGTGAGCGGGTTGCTCTGAAACCAGCCAGAGTATGCGCCGGCAGGCTTCAGGGGTTCGCTGATGCCCTTGCTGGGAATCGTGAGAAAAGCTGTGCTTCCCCCCGCGTGTTGCTGCGGTGGCTCCACGGGATCAAGAGAAGCTAAAAGTTAGAAAGCCTTATTTTTATCTCAATGGTTTTGATGACACTACTGAGTTCACACTGGGGCCAGTGAAGTATTTTTAAGTGGTGACATTCCTCAGAGCAGATTTCTAGCTCCAAAGGTCCCACAGCAATGCCATGTTCCCTCTGCCCCCTAAAAAGGGGTATGCGCCTTCATGCTTCATATTTTTAAAGGCCACCACCAATCAGCTTTTTAAACTCTAGTGTCAATACTCAATGAAGGGTGACATTCTTTTGCCTTCAGATGACTTCATGAAAGAATGCTGCCTTGGTACAGGAGTCAGTTCTGGAGACCAGGATTATATTATATGAGAAAAATACATTTTGGGCAGCCTAAATATGTAGATATCTCTTTGCCGCTGATTAATGAGGCACACAAAGTTAGCAAACGTACGAGTGCATGCTACCATAATACCCTTTTCATCTGCATCAGTGTTTATCTCAAGTTTCATTGGTTCCAGATATACACACTCTTTCAGTTTTAGTGCTAGTTTCAGGTTCACTACAGCTATGTTGAAGTCACAAAACTGTATGGTGTCACTATAATAAGACACTGACCTTTAACTGCTGTTGGTATTTAATATTTGCTGTAATATTTGATTTAATTCGTGATTCCTATTCTCTGCATGACTTTCAAAATAGCTAGATTTGCATTTGGGTTTGCTAGCATCTATTTAAAACCTTACTCATGTTACTATTAATATTTAGCTTTACATGCCAGCACCACACAAGTCCAAATGCACCACTGTCCGTATGAAGAATCCTTCATTTTCTTTTGGTTGTTAAAAGGCTGCAGATCAGTTACTGATAGAAGCCCATTTGCTTGCATGCTTTTTAAAAAAAGGAAAAAAGGCATCTAACAAATTCACGTAATATTCAGATGCCCTTTTTCTTAGAATGAAGAAACTGCTTACGCATTTTGATTTATAAATCTGTTTTTCTCATATTGCACTTTCCAAAGCAGCAGTATTGCTAATCCAGACCCCTATGTCCTAAGACACCGATACAGGGTAATGCAATGTTTTCTGAAGTCCACCAAGTGCCAAGTGGTGACAAAGCAAAATGAAGACCTGAGCTGCTGCAAACATTGAGAAAGAGTTGTCTAACTGAATTTCATTATTTTGGTAGAGCCATAACATGACTTTTCAAGATGCTCATTCAAATGGTGAGTTGCCCCCAGCAACAGACCAAACCCCCACAGTTTAAAAATGCATATTGAAGCATTTTGTACAAACAGCACTGCAGGTCAAGAGGCAGAGTATGGAGAGAGGAAAAAAGCCTTGGTGGAGGCTCAGGTGTGGAGATAGACATCACTCTCTGTGGGCCAGGTCTGATTGCAGCACTCTTGAGGCAAGGCTTAGGACGCAAGTGACATGCACAACTCACCTTTAGCCAGTGGCTTGGCTGGGCATCTCCCTCCCTCTGTCCCCCGTGGCAGAAACAGGGGGTCTTATTCACCCAAACAGTGGGAGCTGGGGCACACAGGCACCAGCTGAAGGTCAAAGGTGGACTTGGGTACTTTGGTGTACATAGCTGGAAGTTCAAGTTGAAAACCGAGATCTTCACACTGTCACTTGTGAAGAGAAGACAAAAACATTTTGTTGACCTCAGAAGATGTGAGGAAATCTCATTAGGTTTATTAGGTCATATAAAGATATGAGCCTTATAGTTTGGACTCTGGAGAATGTGCAGCAACAGTAATACTTTGACCCCAGTACATATGCCAGCATGGCGTGAAGCGTACATTAGGGGCTGATCCTGCAACCTCTGCGTGTAATGGACTTTGGTGGGCGCAACACTTCTTTCATTGGTGTAATTTGACTTCAGGACAGTCACTGCTGATTTACTCCGGCCATAACTGAGGTGAGGCTCAGGCCTCCTGTTTTTAAGACTTTTGAAGAATATACCAAGTATGTGTTATTGGTGTGTGTATAGGTGTATAGGCACGTGGAAACATACATACACTATTTCTCTACATGATGGTTACATCCTTACTGGCACTACTACAGTGGTGTCCAAAGAGATATGCTGATTTACCTCAGCAGGGGATCTGGCCTCTGATATTCTAGTGTCTAAGAGGCCCTTTTTTTAAATAACTTTATTTCAAGGAAGAAATACATTTCCGGTGTCCCAAGAGCTTAAGAAGAGGACAGTTGCTCTTCTCCAGATTTCAGACCAGCATCAACTCCTCCTCATGAGTGAAGTGTGAATATTGCATTTCCAAAGCAGGATCCATACCTCTGGTCTTTCCCTAGCTAGAGTTGGTTTTGCACACAGGGAGTATCCTTATTTTTTTCAAAAAAGCACAGAAAGCCTGGCAAGCTCCTTGTTCACCAAATGCAGCAAAAGGATCAGCTGAAGGCCTCTGCCTCAGTCCCTTGAATTCAGGAGCATGTCACAGCCTGTGCTGGGGAAGCAGCATAAATAACCACAAACTTGGGAGAAACAGTAGCAGTCCCCAGGGTTTCCTACCAATCTCCTCCCTCCCACATGCATGCACACACAACACACAAAAAGATCCTGGGGGGGGCTTCCACAAGGTGCAGAGAGTTGGGCGCGAGCAAGGAGCATTGGTGTGGACCTGCTGTTTCCCACTGCTGGGCGATGATTGACGTCCACACTGCTCGGCTTCTCTTTTGCCGCAAGGCAACAAAGGTGGCATTTATACCACTCAAGGCGAAGGCCATTCTCACCTTAGGATCCCTTACGAATACAGAGGAGCTGGTGGCAGAATTGGCCCGTTGGGAGCAGCTAAACGCAGCCTGGGGTGGCACTGGTTCAGTTGGGGTGTTTGTAGCTCAGAATCTTCTTAAAGCAACCTCTGGATGTGGAGCAAAAGAGCCTGGTGATGGCTCACGGGTGTGCCTCCTCTACAAGCAGGACCAGATCCTCCCTCCTCACAGAGACAGGGATGCTTCGTATGCCGGGGGAGAGTGTGCCCCCTCGCAGGCTGTGACACCCAGGGTGTGCCAAGGAACGTGGGGAGTGACCTACTGCGCCAACATCACCTGAGGGACAAGGAGGTCCTTTAACGAGCCCTGTGGCCATAAGGCTTAGCATGAGATGGCCTGGGATTTACTCTCAGAGGAAATGGGGAAGCATGTGGGTTAGTCAGCTGGGGGCTTATCAGGGGAGGTGGTGAAGTGAGCGTGAAAAAGGGGGGAAATAGAGGTGAAAAGGAGGTCTTGGTTTGCCCTGCTGCCAGACCCAGCCAAGAGGTACTCTTCACCGAGAGGGGACAGAATAGCTGGTTTATCTCATCTTTTCAGCCTCTAACCCACTGCAATGATGTAAGATGGGGGCTCGGGCTGCTGAAAGAAAGAGAATTTATTTGGTATCATACAATATAGCAGGAACTGACATCGCATCTGAGTCTCTGTAACAAAGTAGCATCACTTTTGGGGATGGCACTGATAAATCCCCTGTACTTCTGCTTGCAGGAAGACCCTTAAAAAGCATCTGCCTCCGGGGTTGCTCACAGAGTTGATACAAGAGAGTGGAGGCAGTGGTCAGGATCTGGCCCCTGGCAGCAACAGACCTGATTGCCCTTTCATTCAGGCAGAGGAGGAGTGGCAGGATCTCCTGGTCCTGCCAGGACTGGAGGTGGTCTCCCCCACTCAGAAATGTGGCTGTGTGGGCTCAGTATTCAAAAATGAAAGCCGAGGTGATCAATAAATGGGGCAGAAACCACAAGTTGCCTTAGTTCTTAATAATTAACTGGAAGTCCTTTGATGAACTTAGTACCCGAGTGTGGAATTTGGAATCTGACCTTTACTACATCTAGATAAACAGTGTGGCTGACCCGGCAGCTCTCTCTGCAAGCGCCCCTCCACTCTCAGCAGCTCACTTCTTGGAGGCTCTCACACTTCATGCTGCAGTCAGGAGCTCCAGGGAGTCCAGCATGATTCTTCTTACCGTGCTGTTCCTTTGCATCATTTCCACCTACTCAGCCTCTGTTAAAGGTAGGTCTGTACTGGGCTTGGTTCAGATTTTGACTCAGCAAAGGCATAACCAGTGCGTGTATGCAGATCTGTTTTGCATCAAAAATTATCTTCTTTACTCGTCTGTCCTTGAGTAATACAAAATG